CCGTGTGTGTCGCACACACACACACACACACACACACACACACACACACACACACACACACACACACACACACACACACAAACAGAACCTAAAGAACACCACTGTCAGTCCTCTCCCGCAAAGAGCGCAGAGGAAGTGTTGCTTAAAGGGCCACACAGGTTGAAACAAGCTTGGCAAGACAGCACAAGTCACTGCTCTATAGCAGTGCCTCCACGGCAACTGCATGGGGACACGGCCATCTTTTAGCACACCTCCAATTCGACAGGTCTCGCGTCCTCTTTCCATCAGAAGTCGGGCACCATAACATGCCGGCCAATCACAAGGCAGCAGGGTGTGCCTTGGTCAGTTCATCATCTTGCACGCCAACTCCAATAATGAGTTCAAGGTGCTTCACGCAGTTCAGTGAGGATCATCCAAAATCCCAACAATCCTTCCAAACCTTTAGTGAGAATGCAGCAAAATGCTTTTAGATAAGCACACACATTTAATGTTCATAAAATCTCAAATATTGTGTCGATCACTTTTATATATTGACAGTCTGAAGCGGATGTGAGCAAGGCTGTGCACCCAAATTTTGGTGATGATTGATCGCATTTTTTCAGACAATAGGTGACAACCGAATGTGACAAAGCAAGGCCAGGAAACAAGTTTGCAACGCTTGCCTCCTTTCGTCAATGACGTAGTCAGGCTGATGTGTGGAAATGAAGGAGGCCCCACCCATTAATTATGGCCGTCATTAACATGTGCTGAAAGTAGTCATTAAAAAACAGACGTGAAAGATCACTTGACTTTGTCAGGAGGGTCAATTTTAGTGCTGATAGCATTTTTATACACAGACCTATTCCATAAGTGCCAAGAATCAACCCAATCAAGAATCCCTTTAATGCTACTGCCGGGCCTTGGATTACAGTGGGAGACAAAGTGACCCACCATCCACCATTTACGAACTGTATGTTGGGCCGCGGTGGGAGTTTTGTGTGTGTGTGTGTGTGTGTGTGTGTGTGTGTGTGTGTGTGTGTGTGTGTGTGTGTGTGTGCAAA